ATCCTTTATCATTTTTCTGCTTATTCTTAGTACACGTTTTGTCTTTGTCTTTGATTTATTCCTATATATATATATATATATATTATCTCTACCTATTTGCATGCACGATATTGATATATATATATATATAGATGTATTTATTTATTTATTTAAGTATAATTATTCTGTGCAGATAAACGACGAGTTGCGGAGTTGGCAGATAATTGGGGTAAACGAATTTTCCTCGAAAAGAGCGCGGATGAGTATTGTACTCAGACCCACTACTTGGACCCATGGGGCTGTCATGTATGCTAAAGGTATGCATGCATGCACCAATGCATGCATGCATGCATGCATGCACCAATGCATGCATACAAACAGGCTATATCTGCATGCATGTAGCCATGCATGCAAGCTATACGTGCATGCATGCATGCGTGCATCCGTTCATTCAGCCATCAGTGCATGCATGCATGCAGTTATATTTGCATGCATGGGATTATGCATGCATGCAGCTCTATGTGCATGGGTGTGCATGCGTGGGGCTGGAAGGAAATGCGTGCATGTATGCATGCGTGCATGCGTTGCTGCTGCAGGGGCTGACACCGCGATGCTGCCGCTTCTAACAAGCTTTGAGGGTTTGATTGAAGAGAGGACGTCTCTAATGAGGAATGAAGGGGGCCCCCTATCTGAGGGGGGGCCCTCTGGTGTACGAAGAGATACAGAGACACCTCCGGGGTGTACAGACGGTTGCATGCGGCACAGCGGAGTGCCGCTGCATGCATCTGGGGCCCCCAGCCCCACCAAGACCAGCAGCAGCAACAGCAGCAACAGCAGCAGCAAGAGCAGCAACAGCCCAGTTAATAGCTCTCCTACTGAAAAGTATTATTATAATAAAAACAGCAAACATCATCATGAAAACATACACAATACCAGTACCTTGGATATTGACCCGGCGCTCGTCGAAGAACACCTAAAAATATTCTCCCTCCAGGGACTCCGCACAATGGGTTAGTCGAGCAACAAAGCCCCAACGCATGCATGCACCACAAAATGCATGCATGCATGCATGCATCCACAAACGCATGCATGCAGGCATGCACAAATGCATGCGGGAGAGGTAGGGATGCATTTGTTTGTGTTTTTTTTGTTTTGCTTGTTTTGTTTGTAGTGCTTGCATGCAAGTATATGAGCCAGGAGGAGACAGAGGCATACCAGCGTCTGTATAACGACGCCTGCTCTTCCGTCTATAGCAGAGAAGAACGCCTGGAACAGGTAAAGTGTCTGCATGAATACAAATAATATATATGTATATGCATGCATGCATATATATATATGTATATATATATGTATATATATGCCGGCTAAGTCGTGCAGTCGTTGGTTTTTTGTTGATAAAAAGAGGTTGCAGTAAAAAGAAGCATCTACGCAGCATTCTGGTTTATTAGGAAGAAGGAGACTGTCTCCTTTATGAGAGTGTCTCCTGTCTCCTTTTGTCTGCTGCACTTGACCCCACAGGTGGCGGAGCAGTTTGAACGGGAGTTGACTTACTTAGGCATCACTGGAGTCAGAGACAAACTGCAGGCCTATGTCCCGGAGACACTTGAGCTGATGATGGAGGCAGGCATTCGCGTCTGGATCGCTACAGGTACGCCCCCCACACAACCGGGATCGTACTGGGATCGTACTGGGATCCTACTTGGGATCGTCCCGGGATCGTCCCGGGATCGTCCAGTGATCGTCCCGGGATCGTCCTGGGATCGTCCTGGGATCGTCCTGGGATCGCCCCGGGATCATCCTGGGGTCGTCCTGGGATCGTCCGGGGATCGTCTTGGGATGGGCGTGGGATCGTCACTGCGCATTCCTCTGTCCTCTGTCGGCGATTTGTTGTCTGTTTCTGTTTATTTTATTTTTCTGTCTCTGTCTCTTCTTCTGTCTCTGTCTCTTTTACAGGAGACGATGTGGAGTATGCACTCCACGTCTGTCACAGCTGCCGTCTCCTCACGAGTCAAACCAAAGTCTTCCATGCTGCTCTAGCCACGCGAGGTCTGCTGCTGCTGCTGCTGCTCTTGCTGCTGCTCTTGCTGCTACGGTTGCTGCTGCTGCTGCTGATGTTGTTGCTGCTCCTGTTACTGCTGTTTCTGGTGCCGTTGCTGCTGCTGCTGTTGCTATTGCTGTTGCTGCTAATGCTGCTGCTGCTGCTTGTTCTTATCCCTCAATAGCGGGCTAGGCCCCCTAATTGTGGCCGATGACAAGATAACTAAAGACCAAATAAATAAACAACTAGTAAATAAATAAGTAAGTAAATAGGAAAATATATTTCTTTATCCTGTTTGCATGCAGGGAAGCGAGCGAAGAGAGAAGGCATGCTATTATATGATATGTTTAAAGAGGCGAGGATATTAAAGAGAGCAGATGAGCATATTTGTTTGGTTGTTACGGGACCCAACCTCACTGCCTTTCTAAACCACCCAGACCTCCAGGTACACCCCACTATCAAAACCCTAAACCCTAAACCCTAATCACCCCCGCGAAGCTCTAGAGACTTATTGCCGGATGTTTAGGGTTTAGGGTTTGGGGTTATCATTAGGGTTTAGGGTTTAGGGGTATGGGTTTGGAGTTTGGGGTTTAGGGATTTGGGTTTTGGGATAGGGGCTAAAAGTGAAAGGGAGATGGTTGACTGCTTAGGGTTTAGGGTTTAGGGTTTAGGGTTTAGGGTTTAGGGTTTGCTTGCAGACTTGCTTCTTGAACATGGCTTGCTGCTGCGATGTTGTGGTGGCGGCGCGAGTCACTGCAACACAGAAGGCAGACATGGTAGGAATCTGTCTCCTTTCTGCTGTTTATATTTGCTGTCTCCTTTGTCTCTTTTCTGCTGTCTAGGCCTACTACTGACTCCTTTTTCTTCTTGTTGCTGTTTTATTCTGTCTCCTTGCTGCTGTACAAAGATGTCTTCTTGCTGCTGTCTGCTTCTCTCTCTTTGCTGCTTTATACATATCTCTAATCGTCATTGTATATTTGCTTTCTCACCTGTCTCCTTTGTCTGCTCCTGTCTTTAAAGTGTCTTCTCTTGTCTCCTTTGTCTCCTTGATCCTGCCTCAATCCGTCTCGTCTGTCTTTTGGTGCTGTCTCTTTCTGTCTCCTTTCTGCTGCTGCTGTTATTCTAATTTGTCTCTTTCTGCTCTCTTCATTTGTCCTCCTACCGGTCGCCTAATCGTCACTCTATCCCTTCAAGAGATATGCGCACATGCATGCATACATGCATACATGCATGCATGCATGCATTGGGGCTTTTTGTTGTAAACGTTTTTTTTCTGTTTCTAGTGATTGTCTCTGCAGGTGCGGTTGGTGAAGAAGCGTCTCACCCCACAGCCCATCACCTTGGCAATAGGTGCGTCTCTGTCTCCTTGTCCTCTCTCATTTTACTGTCTCTTTTTACTCTATCTTTTTGTTGTCTCCTTTTACTGTCTCCTTTTAGTCTCTTCTGTTGGTGTCTCCTTTTGCTGTCTCCTTTTCTCCCGTCAGCTTTTTGTGTGGGGACTCTTCTAATGTTGCTTCATTGTGTCTTTGTCTCCTTTTCTTCTGTCTCCTTTTCTTTTGTCTCCTTTCGTTGCCTCCTTTTGCTGTCTATGAGCGTTGGCCTTCTCTGCGTCTCCTGTCGTCTCTTGTATGCTTTCATGCTTTGTCTCGTCCTTCTTGTGTCTCCTTTTCGCTGTTTTTGTCTGTCTCCTTGTCTCCTCTTTGTCTGTCTCCTTGTCCCTTCTTTATCTGTCTCCTTAAGCGTCTGCTCTGATGGTATTCACCCTGTGCTGTGTGTGGGTGTCTCCTTTTAAGTGTTTGCTCTTCCTCTGTCTGCTCTCCTCCTGTCTCCTTGTCTCCTGTCTCCTTTTCTTTTATCTTCCTTTCTTCTGTCTCCTTTCCTCCTACCTCTCTCTCTTTTCTCTGTTTTTCTTTTGTCTCTTTCCCTCACGTCATTATGAAGTGTCTCCTTGTCTTCGGGTGTATGTGCAGGTGATGGAGGTAACGACGCACCTATGCTACAAGAGGCGAGCGTTGGAGTTGCAGTGAGGACAGAGAGAGGGACATCTGTTGCGGGTTTTGCTGACTTTGCTATCTCTGAGTTCCGGTAAGAAAGCGTCTCCTTTCTGTCTCTTATGTGTCTCCTTTCTGTCTCCTTTTTGTCTCTTGTGTGTCTTCTTTTTGTCTCCCTTTGTTGCTTTTGCGTATCCTTTCTCTCTCTCTCTCTCTGCTTTCATCTCTTATCTTTCTCCTTTCTGTTTCCCTTCGTTTCTTATCTGTCCCCCTTTTGTCTCCTTTGCGCTTCCTTGCTGTCTCCTTTTTTCCCTTTTCTGGCTCCTTTCTGTCTCCTTTTACATACATACATGCATAGAGACATATATATATATATATATCTTTTATCATAGATGTCTGTCTCCTTTTTTATTATTTGTCTCTTCAGGTTTCTTCAGCGTCTCTTGTTTGTTCATGGGCGCCTCAACTTCTTGCGTACCTCCAAAGTCATTCTTTGGGTTTTCTTTAAGAGCATTTTGCTGAGTTTTCCCGGTGAGTGTATTTTCTTTTACTCTTTTATTTAGTGTCTCCTTCACCAAGTGTCTCCTTTCCTTCTTATTATCTCACCTTCCTGTTCTTGGGTTTGGCTGTCTTTATTTTATTGTCTCTTTTCGTGGTGTCTCCAACTGTCTCCTTTTTGTTTTACAAATGCCCTCAAAGGATTTATACACAGGATATATAATAAAGAAAAGTAATAATAAGCCCCAAAGACAGCAAATATATATATATATATATATGTAGATGTAATATATATATATATATATATTTGCTGTCGTTGCATGCGCTCAGTTTTCTTATTCCAGCCAAGTGCCTTTTGGTCTGCGGTGGAGGTGAGTTGGAGACAACAGAAAAAGTGTCTCCTTTAATAAACTGTATCCTTCAATGAGTTGTCTCCTTTTATAAACTGTATCCTTCAATGAGTTGTCTCCTTTTATAAACTGTCTCCTTTCGTG